GTGAGTGCATGCATCCTATGGGGAAAAAAATTCCCCTCTCCCTTTGAAAACCCATGGATCTAAACCTGAAAGATCAGGGAGAGTGTAGGCCCTATGTGAGTTTGGAAGGGCCAGAGGTGAACACTTCTTATCCAGCCACTCCACCAGATGAAGAGAACTCCCTTTAGGGCCAGGATACTGGGGCCTCCCTGGCTCCTCTGTGACATCAGAAGGGCAGGGCCTCCCTCTTTCTGAACACCGGGAGCTCTTCTGGCAGGTGTTGTGGAAAAGAGAGCTAATATACGACTCCAGCTCTGAAGGAAATAAGCCTGGGGTCTTCGTGGACTCCGTGAGGAATATAGCATGCCAGCCATATAATGCTGAAAATGAATAAATAAATAAAATCTATATATCACCTTGAAGCCAGTCCTCCTACAAGAATGAAATTGAGCCACGACCACCGGCGTTATCCTGGGTCAATTTCGGTGCATCGCATTTTTTTTTTTTTTGGAGAGGTTTTCGCTATAGGGCACGTGCGCTCGCCAGACAGACAGAGAGAGACATAGAGACAGAAAACGAGAAATCACCCCCCAGGGGGGATGGCCACGCCGTAATCCCTTCTCCTCCATTCTCCTCTCTGGATCTTGAGCATACACGCACACGCGCCTGGCGTGAGTTTTAAGCCACCGGGTCTGGGACACGAACCGTGGTCGACTACGTGGGTGTCCAGCGACATAGCCATTACGCTAACTGCTGGTTCCCTGGTACATCACATTTTAAAGTGGCTCTGGGGCCCCTTGATTTTAAAGAGGGATGTGGTGGGGAGACTGGAGAGACAACTACTCTGAACTTATGACAGAAAACTCTGGGTGTGTGTGTGTGTGTGTGTGTGTGTGTGTGTAGGGGGCGAGTCTGAAAATGAAAAGGTGGAATGGTCATTGTCGTATTACATTGCTACAGTTAATGTGTCTGGCATTTACCTTTCAGGTCCATTTTCTCAGTTATTTTATTTGTTCCTCATCATTTCTCCTCCCTGAATATGAATATGTACAGATAATGAAGGCTAAATTCTGAAGGAAACAGGTTCCCATTGCAGAGAGAGAGAAGGCAGATTAGATGTAGCAGCACTTCCTGAAGGTGACGACACGGCGCAGGATAGATCTGGCCAGACTTATCCTGGGTGCTGAGTCTGCAGTGCTGAAGTGAATGCCTTGAAGATTTTTGTTTGTTTGTTTGTTTCAATTTTAGATGAAGTAATACTGGTGAAGTGCTTGACACTTGACGATGCCCAGAAAATACCTTTCCTTCCCCCCCCCTTTTTTTTCAAAGAGCTACTTCTCCCAAAGGAACAGATATTTAATAGAGATCATTTAGTTATATGCAGCTCATTTTATGTTTTTTTCTTTCTTTTTTTTTTTTTAATTGCCAAAAAGGACATGTGGAGAGAGAGAGAAGAAAGCACTCCCCCCCCCCCATGAGGCATGGTGGGATCAAACCTTCTTCTTCCCACTAGGATTTTAGGCACACACACATGCACACCTGGTATATTTTCTTTTTAATTTTTGCCATAGAGTGTGTGTGCTCACTAAAGAGACAGAGACAGATGGGACCAGCAGTTAGCGTAATGGCTATGTTGCTGGACTCCCATGTAGTGGACCACGGTTTGCGTCCCAGACCCGGTGGCTTAAAACTCACACCGGGCGTGTGTGCATGTGTGCCCAAGATCCCAAGAGGAGAATGGAGGAGAAGGGATTGCGGTGTGGCCATCCCCCCTGGGGGGTGATTTCTCGCTTTCTGTCTCTCTGTCTCTCTCTGCCTGTCTGGTGAA